ATCGTGTCTAAGAACCATAACAATTCAATGGATGCAGTTTAGAGAGTATGGATTCAACATGGTTAGATATCTTTTGAACTGTACTATTCATTTACATCTCAAGTGCAGTTGCTGTTATAATTGAAAACGAAAATTTATCAGATGAATGTGGTATAAGAATTTTCTACCGTTTCGAAAAGGAATCATGAGCTTCAAAAGCATGTGCCCGATATTCGGGAGAATTGTCTCATAATGGTCCGATCCGCCGCGGCTCCATCACCGCCGTTTTTTTTTTTTTCGCGTGCATTGTGACAAGAATAACCATTCTGCTACCCGGATCCTCGCCGCCGATTTTTGCTCCAACACATTTCAAAAGTTCACTATCAAACAATAGCATCAATTACTCAAAAGATGTCACGCCCACAGTCTCCACTATGTATCATATTTCTAACTCTCTTATACGCCTACAATAGAGCAATAACGAGAATGCTCACACAGACTTATATACAAATTCTTCACTACTTGAAATTGTTGATGTTAGTATGTGTGTATTCTCTTTATTGCTCTATTTTAAGTGTATAAAAGAGTTGAAAGCATAATGCATAATGAAGATTGTGAGCATAATATCATTGACGTAATTGATGTTGCTGCTTTGACCGTAAACTTCTAAAATAATCTTATGATTTTTTTAAGGTTAGGTTCTTTCATTTTTTATTTTTTTAGAAAAAAAAAGTTATTTTTATCTTTAAAAAAAATGTCAGAACTAAATTAGCTCTTTCGAAAAATCATATATAAGTTGGTTGTGCCATAAATATATGGACCCAAATTCCTCAGACATGAGGTTTTTGTATAGTTTGATTGTTTAAATAAATCTACAAATATGAATTGGCTGTTTGTCATATATAATAACTATTTAATCTTTGTAAATTCTATATGTTATTTAATTCTTGTGGCACCAATCATAATGTGCCACATCATGTTGTGGCACCATAATATAGTGCCACATGTGATGCTATAGAATTTCTGAACAACATAATTATAAATTGAACTAGTTTTGAGTGAATTAGTAAAAAATCTTCGGTTAAATCGGTTAAACCATATACTTTAGCCGACATAATATATCTAAATAAAATATTGCAATGAATTTCCTAAATAAAGGATTGCAAATTGAAAGACCAAAAGAAATTAGGTAAAGTGAAGTGATTATTCCAATTCAACACATCTTTTTTTTTTTTTTTAAATG